GTGTGTGTGTGTGTGTGTGTGTGTGTGTTAGTTCAGGATTTTGTGTAAATTATCAAAGAGAAAGAAAGGGTTCCACTGCATAAATAAACTTTTTTATGTCTGTCTTCTGCACCAGCATCTCTGAGGCAGTATTTACTCTTCTAGGTGCCAGGCTAGATGCTGAAAATCAACGGTCAGCAACACATACATGGCAGCTGCCCTCTTGGAGCTTACAGTCTTCATGGAAAAGATGGGCATTAATTAATCCCAGTCAGACAAACGCAAGAGTAGAACTGTGCAAAGTGCTGAGAGAACAGGCACTGGAGCTATGCAAGTCCAAGACATTAGATCTGACGAGATGAGTGGGAATTAACTAGGCACAATCAGCAGGAACAGCAAGTGCCAAGGCACGGCTACAGGAAACCTGGTGTCTACAGTGGTCTGGGGAAAGGCCTGTGTTGCTGGAGTACAAGAGTGAGGAAGAGGATGGATGAAAACAAGGCTGGAAATGGAAGCAGGATCTAGATCATGTGGAACCTTTCACGTCATCACAAGGATTTTGGCCTTCATCCTAGGAAGGAAAGCCATGTGATGTGAACAATACATGTGCCCCATCCCAATTCATATGTTGAACTCCTAACCCCCTCCCCACCATGTGATGGTATTTAGAGGTGGAACCTTTGGGAGATAATTAGATTTACAATAGATGAGATCATTAGGGTGGGGCCCTCATGATGGGATTAGTGTCCTGATAGGAAGAAAAGAGACCAGACCTCTCTCTCTTCCTCTCTGTCATGTGAGGACACAGTGAGAAGACAGCCCTTACCAGGAACCGAATGTGTGGACACCTTGATCTTGGACTTATCAGCCTCCAGAACTGTGAGCAGTAAATGTATTGTTTAAATAAGCCATTCAATCTATGGTATTTTGTTATAGCAGCCCAAGCTAATATACCATGGGAAGGTTTAATCAGGGGTGAAGCAATCAGATTTTCATTTCAAATGGTAAACCCTGGAGGCAGGTTAGGAAACAGACTGGAGAGGGCCAGGATGAAAGCAGGGAGACCCCGCCGGAGGCTACTGCAGGATCAGGGTGAGAAATGGTCACTTGTACTGAGGGGTACAGTGGTGGTGACAGAAGTGATAGAGAGAAGTAGATGACTCCAGACACATTTACCAGGCAAATCCAAGACATGCTGGGCTGAGCTGCTGGGAGCCAAGCTTCCTTGTGAGAAGAACTGCTAAGGGTTCAGGGGATGCGGGGGGAAGAGACCCTAACACTGGCTCAGGCTTCAGGTAGCAGGAGACTGTCTCCTTGACCATAATGTTCCTTCAGGCTCCATAATACAGACAAAAGACATCATGAGGCTGATTTCCAAGGAAAATCCCATAACCAAGTGTTTCTCATGCCTTTCAAATTCTTCTGTAAGTCTGTGATGATGGAATCTGGTTTCCAGAGAGAATATGGAGAGGAAAACTATGTCACTCTTTTCTGATTATCAGACAGAGAGTGACACATTCATTATCATTATTAGAATGATGAACTGGTGGCACAAAGACCCATTTTCCAAGACTGGTGCACAGCCCTTGTACCTGGACTGCTCTGTGCACTGCTGTTGGTTTTAATTTTATAGGAACTTTCTTCTCCTTAGAAGAATCAGAGTCTGGGGTGATCCCCCCCGCCCCTTGGCCAACAGGAACCCCGTTCTCAGCAGAGAGCTGTGCTGAAGTGGCAAAAAGCACAGACTACACCTTTGTGACTCAGAGCAAGAGGACTTGCTTTTCAAGGTCCAATAGAGCTATTTCAGAATTCTAGAGATAAAAGGCATAGGAGAGGTCACCTGGTCTAAACGCTTTTGTACACACACATTCAAGAGAAAGAGCTGCCTGGGTCGGCCGAGTGGTGCGTTGGTTAAGAGCTGGCTTGGGACGCCAGCTCTGAGCAGCAGGGCCCGGGGTTCGGCTCCCACACTAGGGCCAGTGATGCTGCACCCCTCTACAGCTAAGATGGTGAACAACAGCTCGGCCTGAAGCCGGGCTGCCCATGAGTCACCGGTGACGGCGTAGGCTGCAGTAGAGCTACTGGGAGTGACTGGCAGCCGGCGTGAGCTGCCAAGAGCCGCTGTGAGTGGCCGGTGACTGATCTGCTTTACCCGGGAAGAGTGCAATGACAATACCAACATAAGCCAGCGAAGCGACGCCCTCCACAACTAGACTGAAGAACCAAAGGACAGCAACTTGTCTGTTCCCCTCCCCCAATTCCCCAGTAAAATCTTTAAAAAATAAAAATTTTAAAAAAAGAGAAAGAGCTGCCTGGTCCACTCAACCTCGTTCACGAGCTTGTACCCTCCGCCATCCTTCCCCCCTTTCCCTCCCCTATTTTCTCTCTCCCTCTCCCACATACACATACATGTATGGGGCATTTACTATGTGCCGGAGTCTGAGCTAACCACAAAGATGCTTCGTCCCATTTCGCTCTCACAGCAGCTCTATAAGGACAACACAGTCTCACTATGCAGATGAGAAACCCAAGGTACAGAGAGGTTGGTGCAGTTGCTGAAAGGCTTACAACCTATCCGTGGAGTTGCCAGTGGCTTGATGCCGGGGCCCGCATGCTGACAGTCTTTTAACAAGGAGCCCCATTCTCTCAAGGAGCTCACCGCACACTCTGCTTTCTGGTCCTGGAACTAGGATGGGGAGAGCAGAGGCAGCAGGTGCAGGGAGTAGGCACTAATAAACAGACGTGCAAAACTGATACTGAAACCTGGCACCGTAGTACATACTCCTAATCCTGATCCTAGCTAGTATTTTACTGTGTGGCCACCACATACCACACACCATGCTAATGGCCTTACATATATTATTCTTGCTTCATGCATTACTAGCAGTGTGTTACTTTCCAAACATGTGGGGCTTTTCTAGTTATCGTTGTGTCACTAACATGTAACCTACGGTAATTGTACACATGCTCTATGTGATTTCATTCCTTTGAAATTTGTTGAGAAACACAGATTATTTCTAATCCTCAAAACAACTCTATAAGGAAGTTATTTTTATGTAATTTTACAAATGAGAAAACTGAGGTTTAGGAGGTTAATTAACATGTCTAATGCAGCTCCCTGGTACAGTGCTGAAGACAAGATCTGAAAGAAGCCATCTGACTCCATTGTCCCCTCCACTCTCCATGCTACGTGTTAGAAAACAAAGCACATTCTACGTTATGTATATTTTTAACACAATAAATAAAACAAAAATAAATTAAGTACAATTTAATTTTGTGTAAGTATAGAGAGCTCCCTTATTATATCTGATATGATTAGAGATTTTTTTTTATTATATATCTTCTTAACAACACACTTGGTATGTAATACAATCTTTATTCATGTGCCTCTCCTAACATCTCATCTCTATTTGCTATTTCCAATTGCAGGAACTCGTCAACTTTTGTTTCTACTGGCAAATTCCATCATGTGAAGCTGTGTGGACTATTACAGGATTTATAAAATAATTCTCTTCCTCAGGCTCTGTTGATTTTTCTTATGTCATTCTAATCTAAGTCCAAAACTTGTCACAAGAGGGTCTCTTTTTAAAAAGTTAAAGGTTAAAAAGTCCGACCTGAATCTGTTGTAAAATAAAAATGCAGTGTGCCTCTCACACTCAGAGATTAGAGATTCTTGGATTAGGACTCAGAGGTCCTGACAGAGATTTGCCCTGGGTCATGCAGCTCACTGGAAAGAGGCAGGTACAGACCTCTGAAGACCCGCACAGACAGGCGTGGCAGGCATGGTACCCTCTGCACATAGAAAAGAGGGAAGACTCCAATGTTAAAATCCTTTTCCCTCCCAACACGGTGGCGCAGGATGGTGCAGGGGCTCAGCCACTGACTAGCTGTTTGCTCTTTGACTAGGTAACATCTTGAAGCCTCAGTTTCCTCATCTGGAAAGTGGGATGATAATACCTGCACCTCATACACTGTCGTGAAGATTATGGTTGCAGAGTCCCTTGCACAGTAGCTTGCAGAGGAGGTACTCAATCAATGTCAGTTTTCCAACTTCTACCAAATAAGGATTCCTCAACCTTTGCCCTTGAACCTCCCAAGTCTCATCCTCCTTGGCCTGTTCTGCTCTGCATAAACCCTCTCACTCTCCACCCTTTTAAATCACTGTAACTAAGCCAATTTCATATACTTAGGAGTCCTGATAAAGGGCATGGAACCCAGTTTCTCTTCACCTAAGACCTTTCAGAGCAGTAATTACTAACACTAATTACACAGTGAGATGGGTGTGTGTGTCATGAGTCAAGCCTGTTGGTCCTGGATTGAAATCCCCGCTCAACCCCGTGCTGTGTAAAGCACAACTTCTTTGTCCCTCAATTTCTCCATTTGTAAAACTGCAGTGAAATTTCTACTTAACTCAAAGATTATGTTGTGAGGATGAAATGAGATGATATCACGTGCCTGGCAGATAGTAACTGAATAATGTTAAGGCTGAGAAGGCCCTTGGAGATCTGGGTAGGGAAGTTCAGAGGCTTGATGAGCTGCCAACAGTTGCACATCATTAAATGCCTTGAACAAAGCACACGCTTATTAATAAATGTTTGCTCTGTTTTCACCACTTTCTTCCATGCTGCTATAAATTTATCTAGTTATACTGGGAGAAAAAAAAAATAAGGGTTCAGTCCTTAAGTAAGTGTATTTCATGTTGCTTACAGTGTGTGGACAAAAACACCTTAAAGGGAAGATGCTGTCTGTGGTGGAGAATCGGTGGCAACTACGTGAAACAGATAGGCAGAGACAGGAAATACGTGAGTCAACACGAGTGTGATCGTCTGTTCTCTTCCATTAATCATTTCCATCCTCCTTTGCCGCTGCCAAATCCACGGGTGGGAATGCACACCTCTAAGAGCACATTCAATTTCACCTGCCCTTGCAACTCAGTTGCAGCCCAATTCCATCTGCTCAGAGTCGAGCAGAAGGCTTCTGCTGACAGGACAGGAATGCATGGGCTGCAGAGTTGGACTGACCTGAGAGTAGAAGGTGGACGACGCTGTGCGCGGGCTGCGGACAAACTCCATAAAGAAGGCCCCGTCCTGAAGTCAGAGGAGGAGGAAGCAGTGGCCACAGCAGCAGGTGCAAGGGAGGGAAAAAACGGAATGTGGACCAGTGGTGAACCATCAGGGGAAGGAGAAGGGTGTGAGAGAGAAAAAAAAAGAAATAAAAACAAGGAGGGAAGGATAAAAACAAGGGCACATAAAGGGATGGAGGAAGAGGGAG